TCAAGTTTAAAATGCGCTCTTGAATCAATTTTAAATTGTTCGCCAAATTCTTATCCTCACCCTATAGTCATAAGAAATAAGTACTTATGGGGTATCGTATCGGAATAGTTTATGTCACTTACGCTATTTGATTCCTACAGGTCCAATCCAGCACAGTGTGTGAGTCGTCCTTGATCATGACCAGAGCAGGGTCATCGATCATCCACCTATCGATCTGTTCCTGCTGTAGCGCAGATTCCGTTGGTTAAAACATTCGTGAGGTTAAGACCGTCTACAGACCGTCTATCGACATCATGGATCGCTTAACTTCCAGGAACAAGAAATTTTTCGTGCAAACTATCGTCTGCCTCAACATGTGCCTCTCCATAGCTCGTCTGCTCTCTTGGTATTGCTGTTTATGATCCTTGGATTTTTGTATACACTCTCCCGTTCGATCATTTAGCGTAACTACCCTGACTTCTTTGTCAGAGAAAAAATTACAGACTCGTATAGTATTTCAGTGTATTAAACTAAACAGGTACTTACTTAAAAGGTCTCAAGTCTTTACACACTTAGTGAGACCTGAATCCAAGTATCTCAACAAGCTCGCAAGCTTCTAGTCCTAGATTAGGAGACCAATGACTCCAATGAATCGCGTGACACCAATGCCCAAGATTACTAGCCTAAATACTGACTACCGACTCTCACGACCAAAGACGTCACAGTAAGACACGTGTTTTACCGTTATCAAAAAAGAAACTGAATTTAATTTACTGATTTATAGTGAAACCTTGAAACCATGCTACCTAATCGAATAGTCTGTAGGTTCTTCTGGTGTTGCCACACCAAAACTACAAAGTACTTTGAATATCCTGTTACAATAGATCTGTCCGTAATCGATTAGGTGCAGTAATACCGCTTGTGCGATACAATAGTACGCTTATCAGTGAAACTGGTCTCTTTATGTGCATATCGCACCAGCGTACCTGGTTATCATAACCGATTTGTGTTGCGGGGTCGAGCCGTTGCACGATACGTTCCGTGTAAAGACACGAAAAGTCTGAGAAAGGCTCTAAGTGCGGTATGCACTTAGACTTTTCATGAGGTTAGGGGATTAGCAATTGCGTATCTACCACAAAGCGTGCGTCACACATGGATGGCGTCACTACTTACCGTCGTTACATGATGTCATTGAAGTACGTCATCAGCACGTTCATATTCAGAATATCCGCGCTGTAAAGACGGCGTCTCATCAGAGCGCACGTCTACTCTTTTTCGTTTAGCCAGTGGCCATTTATATTTCTGTTTATCGAATTAAATGGAAATCATTCTTTCATTTGCAAACTACATGAAACATGTGTGCGTAGGACGGTAAACCGCGTCCGAGCCATACTAAGCAATAATCGTGTACTATAGGTGAGGAGTCGTAAGAATCCCACTTGAACCTTGCTGCACGCAGTAGAAGACGGTAAAACCGCTTTCTCGCAGGTGCCCAAAGATGTACGGAAAGGTGGTGTGTGGCAGGTTTAAGCACCCGCCTCCAGTTTGTGCAACCTCGTTACAGTATATATCCAGCATAAGGTTGAAAAATATACAATTCCATCTAGGCACAGGAAGTATGAATCAGCTGTAGCACATGTCGAAGCGCAAGCGTATCTTGCACGACATCCGCCACGGCGTTCATAATTACCATAGCGCCTATCACGAAATCACTCAGGGCGTTCAAGAGTTGCAACAATTATGCGCCTTCATTGTTGCGCATAGCATAGCTCGCGTGAAAGTCCCCGGACTGCGACGTTTTGGAAGCTCCATCATCTCGATATCAGTCAGGTGGACGCTCAATGTGAACACTTCCTAACCGAATGTTCAGATGGTGGTTTTTTATTTTAGATTAATACAGTCGACTTAATACAGCACGAATGCATCGACGCAGCCGCGTATTGGAAAGGCGCACAAAGTGTAAAAGAGAAAGCATTTGTAGCCAGTGGAGGGGCAGCAGGGCGGCCCACCGCAAGTTTAGCGAAACGCGACAGGCTATTTAGCGATTCTCTCAATTCAGGCCAACTTGGGCTGGAGGGCTGGACACAACGAAGTCAGTTTTTAAATTTGCGTCGAAGGCCATCGTCGCTATGTTGATTACCCATAGCTATCTCTTGAACAGTTTCTGGTACGTTCTGACTCAATGCTTGTCGATTGCACATTGTGCTTGTGAATGTTGGGATCGACACCTACCTTCAGATTTAAGCATGACATATCGTACATCTCGGCTTGATGAATGGCCAAATTAAGTGTCTTGAAATCCTGCATTTTCTTCTGCGTAAAAAATCATTTCCAACACTAAATATCAGCAGACCACAACAGGACGAATTCACTTATCACACACATCTCTGTACGTTTGTGCAAGCGCCACCAGTGCCGCCCTTCGTACAACTGTTTCGGTTCTCAAGTTAAACCTGTGTAGTAAAGGAAAACTGGATTGGGAAGCGGCTTGGACTTGACTAATCAACTTTGGATATGATTAAAGCTGGCACTAAATGCCGCGTTCAGCTTTTCATGTTCTCCAGCATATGTCACCATTCTCCCATCCGTCGTCCACGGTCTTGTTGCTACTTTGTTTTGAATCTAGATCTGCGGTTGGTCCCACTCACGTGTGTTGATCCTGGCACCGAATACTGTAGCTTCAATCGTGCTTCCCTTGCACTGTTTCAACCAGTGTCGTCACCGCATCACCAATGTAACGACATGCTGCACCTTTGCCATGCGAAACCAGTGGACTCGACCATGTTGACATCAGAGTGCGAGAAGCTTGCAGTGCGATTCGAGTAAGGAAAAAATCAACTAGACGCGATTTGCGGGGACACGATAGCATGTGGAAGTGACAAAGCACTGCTCAGTGTCAGTAGTCTGACCGACAGATGACAGGATATGCCGACTAAATGTCAACGAATTGAGATCGATGGTCCTTACACTCAATGCTACAATCATTTAATGGTTAGTGAGAAGGTGGGGTATGACAGGTACGCGTACGACCCGCTATATCCTGTTGCTAGGCAACGAAGATTCGGTGGCGACTACTACTTTACATACTAGGTAATTCTAGTCCTCAGACGGCAGAGCGCTTTCGCGCAGAGTCTTGTCTCGAGATGAGCAGGTCCCTCGGCGTTAGCGCGATGCTCTGTTGGTTGTGATGTTCGGCGTGAGAGGCCTCCAGCCATTGGTTGACATCATTGTCGAGGAAGCTCGTAGCCTATTTGACAACACCTTGGTCTGAGGAAGCGTGCACTTGTATTGAAGCCCTTTTGTCCATCGCAATATTCGCCAGTCGATCATCCATTTTGCTGTAGGTGCGATAATCATACCCCCAGCCAGATACGTTAAGATCATTAGCTGCGGTCTGTCCCTCTTGAAATAGCCGCCTCAGGTGCGTCTTGCGTGGAGCGCTGTCTCCGACAACATGCAGGGTTTACGATCTTTCAAAGCATATGCATTGTGTGGTGGGTGACCAGCTGAATCTTACACCGATGTTCGTGGGCTAGCACATCATCTGCATCGATTCTCTACATTTGAATGGTAGGGTGTACTGCACAAAGAAGCGTAAGGCCGATCGAAAATAGGCTGTTTTCATTTTGCATGTAAATGTAGGTGCCAAGGAAATAGACTGAGTCTTTTAGCCCCGTTCTACCTTTCATGTTTCTGTGCACACTAATAAGTATTGGTGCAGCAGGGATAAGCACTCAGCTCGAAGAAGGAATAATATGGACTAGCACACACCAACTACTGTCGGACGCCTCACACGCCGTCCACGCATGATGCCACAACCCTGGATACGAGTCCACTACCCTACTTTACCGTATCTTATTTTGCAGAAACTAGCTCGCATTGGCCCTCCAGAATGTTTCTGCGTAATTGAAGTACTCACTCAACCCGAGCCATACACGGTCCATCTAGAGGCCATCAATCATGCCATGGCATGTTCCGACACTTTGATGAACTCGACCGTAAGCGCTTTTAGCTTTATTGCACGCAAGATACCCGAGTCTTTTGGACTGCAAGAAGATACATCTGAAATTTGGCAAAAACATAGCTGGATGTTGGGTCACTTCATAACGCAAAACATCACCTCACCAAGCCAAAGTTACTACTGTTGTGTAAATCAAGCACGGCCCGAATTAAATGCTAAAACGATAGGGGAGCAAGCTCTTGGGCTCGCCCTTTGATATAAGTCATTCAGTTCAGAGAACTGAATCAAGTTGCAAATCGAGATACAACAGCAATCACTGAAGAATTAGTATGATGGTGTTACTGTCTGTATTAACCTAGTACAGTATACTGAGGTAACGTGACCGGCCTCTGCTTATAAGCGCTAAGCTTTTGCTTACGTGACCATATTCAGCTCTGATCGATTTTAAGCCAAGCACAAGCATCCGAAGTCACTTTTAGGCTAGGTCACTATTGCACCGCTTATAACGGTAGAGTTTTAGGCTCAAATCCTACAAGGCTGATTTGTAATTGCTGGAACAGTTTTCATCATAGTAAGTGCTATTAGATTGATTAATCATCATTTTACTGTGTTTTTTTGTTTTAGAGTTTGTTTAATAGCAAACACTTTTTAATTTTTTGAAAAAATAACATGAATAAAATTATAAATTATTTTTAGCACTTTTATTAACTCTCTCTTGGGCTAGGTCACTATTGCACCGCAATAATGACCTAGCCCAAGAGTGACTTCGGCTAGATCTGTACCTAGCGGGTGGGGACAAGCTAGCTCGCACTTAGTACGGATAAGGTACGTCTGACCTAAGAGGCAGACAGCCAGCCAGACACACACGGATAAGTACGATTTAAAAATATAGCAGTCAACCTTGCGCACACTCACTACTAGCTTCACCTATCAGGCTCGCAATAAAGCACTTTTCTACCTTCGCATTTAACTCAATTACTTCGTTCGCACCTTTTGTCACTTAAATTGTGAGGCGTGAAAGCGACGACGACTTGATCACTGTCTACCTTCCTCGACATCCATGAGTTGGCGCGCGCAGATCTCCCGCAGTATCCAGGAGCTGCGTTTCGTGGCGTGTGATACTTCACAGAGCAGCGCGGGTTTGCGGTGGGTACTTGCCTACTTTTTTCTCCTCTTCTTCTTGCTTCTCCTACTCTGTGTTTGCTTTGACGCTTAAATCCTAACGTCATATTGCAATATTATTGTGAATGTATTGATCCAGCACCTTTTTCCACCAAAACTATCGTGAGCTTAAAATGCTGAATCCCCTTACACCGTTCGTCTATCGCGAGGCAGAGGAGATGGAGCCGTTTGTGTACGCCCGATTTGACTGGGGCGTGGAGAAGAAGGTGCCTGTGCCTGGAAAAAGCGACAAGGAGATCCTCGCGGTACTCAAGGGTCTCGTGGATCACGGTCTTACGCTGCCCAAGTCGCCTGAGAGCGACGTCCTTGTGGCTGCCCCTACCATTGAGGCCGAAAAGGGCGAGAGTGCGTACGAGCCCGTCAACCTCACGTGGGACGGCAAGACGTTGCGTCGCAACCCGGACTTTGACATTCCGCTAGAGGAAGCTTTGAAGTCTTGAGATGGGACGATGGCCACGGACGGGGATGGGACTACCCAGGCTCTGGAGCTTTGGAGTTGCAGGCAGGCAACAGATATAAGGCTTACCCATTTGTGGGGTTGGGAAACCCATTCGACAAGATAAGACTCAGTATGCAGCATGAATAATCAAACGTGTTGCAGCTATCTTAGCTCAGGCGTTGTCTCATCTTTCAGGTAGACTCCGATACTTCGTACATGCGTCACGACGACTGTCAATGACATGCGGAGCAATCGGTACAACACTGCACATGTAACCTCTCGTGTTGGACAAACCAATCGATTGGCAGCACAGCTCAGGACGGAGGAGATGCAGAACCCACCACTGCTGGACTTGGGACTGCGTGCATGTTCTGCTCAATCAGCTGAGCTTCTAACTGAGGAGGCAGCTTTTCACCCTCATCGATATCCATCGGCTCCGGAGCGATCCGGTCGCCGCGGATTGCACGCATCACACGCTCTTGCTCGTCAAAGTGGTGCTCGAGGTCGTCCAAGTGGAGACTATACGTCTCGATCAGACCTTGACGAATCCGAAAGGGCAAGTAACTTGCAATGGGCTCTGTCAGCAGCATTGCATCTAGCTCAAGAGGCACACTTTCCTGACGTAGCCAATTCCACATACAGCAATCAGCTCATGTCGTGTCAAGACCGATGAAGCGTATTAGCACTGCATTCGTAGCCGTACCAGAAAAGAGGCAATAGCGGTCAACCAGATAGCTAATCCCCATGCCGCATGAGAAATCGTTCCGAAGACGCTTGCCCATGACAGCTCCATGACGTGGCGAAAGCGGAAAATGTAATAGATGTACTTGGCCGTGCCTACGCCAATGTATCCGAAACCCAATAGAAGCAGCCCTAAACCAAGCACAATTCCAATCATCAAGCCCAGTTTCGATCAGCTCACATCATCAGCACAACGAATGCCCTACTTCTAAATATCTTCTACGGTTGCAAAATCCACAACGATAAGACGCAGACTCACCCGCGCCACTAAGTTGCGCTCCACGATGATGTTCTTGCGCATACATGGCAACTCCAACAGCAGAAGACAACACGCCGTTTCTTGCCCAATTTAGGTACGAGTTCTCATTGCTAAAACGAAGCACCTGTTGATTTTATTGCAAACAAGGAAAGTATAAACAAACACGCAAACGTTCGAAAGAAACGAGGCACAAACAATACACACACACGATAAATACACATGCACAAACACAGACAAAACGAGCATTAACGTGACACGAATCGACCATGCATAAAAGTCATAGCAACTTCAATTGTAGTACAAAAGTCACGAACGTCCACTGCATTTTTCCCTCATCGTACCAACGAATTGCGCAGTCGGAGATTTACATCGGCTGTCGCTGCAGTCGCTGTCTTTTTGGCTTCAATTTCTGCTGCTTTTCGTGCTATTTGGGCCGCTAGAACCGAAAAAAAGACACGAAAACGACACACCCACGTAAAAAGCCCAAAATTAGCACTAGATCACACCCTTGTTTCACACCCACAAATTGCCACGGAAAAAAGAACACAATTGTGCGTCGCACCCTTTTTCTGCTTGAGCGCGAGCAGACGATGCAGCTGAAACCTACTAAGCAGCATATGTGACCCTAATTGAGGCCTCGTCGCTACGCAGCAGCGCTTACTCGAGCCTGCTGTCGGCCATTTCGCCGCGTTCTTGTCCGCATGCACCGTAACTGGAGGGTGCACTGAAGAGTTGCCAGCTTTTGAGCGCAAGCCCAGAGCCCCTCGTGGAGCAGCCCACACCGCACGCAGTTGCCGCGCGGCGACGCGACTCATCCCCATCATCCTCACACCAAATGTGTGAGGAACGGGTATACGTATACCACTGGACGTGTACGTCTGTTTCTGTACGCACGGTCGTACGGACGTTCGTTTGATTGTTTTTTGTGCGCACGCATGCACCAGTCGTCCACCTTGTGAACCCTTGTTTGCTCGCTTCTTCTGATTGGTTAAAATATCGTCATTCAGGTGAGTTGCAACATGGCGTCGAACCGGTCGGACTTTGTGAGCTCATTCCTGTTGAATGAGCTGCTGTCGGCGCTCGACCCGCGGGTCTGCGCTCGCGATACGGACTTGTCTGGTGCTACCAATGGCTCTGAAAGTCTGAGTGAAGACACGGAGTCGTCAAGTGCTCTACAGACTGCACGACCGACTGCCCAGTCGCGTGTTGTGCTCGTTCGTCGTACAAATAGCTCCCAACAGCTCGTGATGCTCGTGGACCGTGAGTTTGGCATCCAAGCTTTCATTCCAAGACATTTGAGCCAGCGGTTGCAGCAGGAACGGGGCTATGAAACGATCGGGAGGCTACGCGGAAGCGTTGTTCGAGTGACGAAGTACCACTTTGCCACGTGGACGCGCTGCTTGGCCAGTGACAAGCAGACGACGTTATCGTCGTCGGTGTCTGTATCTGCACCTGTCCACACTCGAGACCGGGATCCAGTGTATCTCTATGTGGACGCACTTGCTATTGTAGACGATACTGAATTGGCTGTCAAGCCGCTGCCTTGGGTGTACACGTACCCATTAGTGGTGGAACAATTACAGAAGCTGAATGATGCTGAGCTGGAGAAACGGCTCATGATACACCAAGGGCTGCCACCTCTGCAGGTGGATGGTGGGTTTACAGACGACCGGCCGTTGCTGGAGGAAGACTGTGTGATACCTGCGGAACAGGAGTTGGAGCTGGAAGAGCGGGACGAATGGGGATCACCCGTGACCATTGTGCGACCACCGACGGACTCGGAACTGATTGCGGAGAACGGACCGGTACCAATGTCAGAGTCTCAAGTGATGCGCCAGTCGGAGAATTCGCTGTCGACGCAGGAGCCAAGGGCTATGTCGACGGACGTGTCGGTGGCATCAGAACACAAAGAAGAAAACAACGACAGAGAACTGGATGCAGTCCCTCCGCTTGATGAGCAGCGGTACTTGTTTCGGCAAGAAAATATTCGAGAGACGTTTGTGGTCGACAGTGACTCCGAGAGCTATGAGACCGCAGGCGAAAATGAAGTTGTCACACAAAAGACATCGATAATGACCCTTGATTCTAGCCGGAAACACTCTGTTGCGCTTTCTGACCCATCTTTGACGACCTCAGAGACGACCCAAGACTCGTGGGCGCTTCTTGACCTGACCGACGATTCGCCTGAAAAGGCTCGAATAACATCTCTTAGTTTGGAAGATGAGACGGTCCCGGAGCAAGAACCCACGACTGAAGCGTGCGATGTGCTAGCAGAACCAGATGGATATGCTTCATTAGACCCATCATCCCAGTCGCCACTGGCGAAGAATGACAACCTGATTGGAAAGCGTAAAGCATCGGCGAGCTGGGCTACGAGTCTGCTTCGTATGGTCGGCTTGAGCACTTCGTCTGCCAAAGCTTCTCCGTCAACGGTTTCCTCTTCTGACGCAGAGATAGAGGACTTGATTGAATGCGAACGAAGTGATGCGGAGAGTCTCGACCGAACAGAGGAGGAGACAGTAGAGTTCAAGCCAGCTCAACTGGAGGATCCGATCTTGTCTCAGGCAACTGTGATCCTGCCGTATGCTACTGATAATGAAGACGATGCACATGCTTTCGAGTACGAAGGTTTGCTGTCAGATGATGTGGTCTCTCCTAAAACAGTGGAACCTAGCAAAAAGCACGCTCTAGTGACTGGGAGTGACCCAACAAACGAGCGGTGTGTAACTGAAAAGGAGGCCGAAGCTGCAGATACTCCGCAGAAAGGTCTAGCGTCGAAGAAAGATAGTGCTACAGCAGACCCGGAATTACCTTCTCGATCTGTGCAAGCCGTGACACCAATGACGGCGGTACAACCTGAGCCAGCTACTCCACTTTCGCCGACAGTGCTACCTCGTTTGGAAGAAACATTGGACCACCGAGATCGTAGTAGTAGCTGCTATGCTTCACCTTCGTGCTCGAGCGACCGTGTTCGTATAACGCGTTCTGCAGCGCAACTCGTACCTGTCAAGGGTCCGACACAACAGGACGTTGTCGTCGAGTCTAGCTTGACCGGGGAAAGTCATGCTGGAGGTGCAGCTATCACGTCTCACGGTTGTAAGCGATGTCAGCAAATGGAGAGCTGCCCCGCCCAGAAAGAGCCTTCAACGCCGCAGCCGCAACAAATGCAAACGGCTGACGGGTTTCCATCCCGAATGCAAAAGCGTCGTCGACGAAATGCTCTTTTGACGCGTAGGCATCACGAGTCCGAGTCTCCTCAGTTCGAGCAACCGGCTGCACACGTCATCGCTGGCCGAGCTGATGACAATTATTCACTCGACGCAGTGTGCAAATCACTTGGCTTGCGCGCACCCATTCCGAATAATGGAGAAGAGCCGACGTGTACATCGGCGCAACCTCGTCGTGCGTGGAAACGATACGAGAAACTCTTTCCGCCGCTGAACATGACACGTCTGAAACAACTGATGGCAGCGGATATCGACGATTGCGAGAAGTAGAATCTCAGTCATGGCATTTGCCGCATGGCAGAATATCACGGCTGGTTTTTCAGTATCGCAGACTGATAACCGAACGACCGGCTCAAGACTCATTATTACCGACTTGCTATTGAATTGGTCACTCGACGAAACACTCGTGCTACGGTATTGGAAAGCTCAGGCGCTTTGTTGTCGGTATTTGCTGTACCTGGTACGTGGGCCTCGACGGCAATGCAAACGAAGCACGTGCGCTTGAACGTCAGAAGGGTCCAAATCTAATCAGGCCACGAGAATATTGCACGCCTCTTATTTTGAGCAACACTGCAACAGTTTGGTAGCTTTGGTACAAACTCGCCGATGACACTTTTGAGAAAACGGGGTGCATGTTTGCAGCAGCGGTGATACTCTACGCTATGCCTTCCACTCAACACGTCAAGCACTATTCATTCCAAGCGCTTTTTGACTGCAAAACTAAGGTCTTTGTAGTAGTGAGTAGCAGACCTGCACTATTGTGACGCTCCCATTCAAGTTCCGACCTTTCGCGTCCTAGCAGACTGTAGCTTAGCGGTTTTGCGTTGACCATTCAATGATATCGAATCGGATATTCAACTTGGGTGCGACCCTTTGACCACGTCCCTAGCACAATAGAGTAGCAGTGCTTTTATGCCCATCGTAGCTCTTAACTCGATTCATACTCCCGTCATTACGAGTGAAAAGAGGGTACACAACGAATTGCAATATTTGCTCGTACACGACATCGTCATTACTTTTACCGGGATGCATCGTGCCAGGGGAATGAAAAATCGAGCTACGGGATTAGCACGTTGCACGCAACAGTCTTCAAGTTGCACGCAACAATCTTCGGATTCTACGCAGTTTATAAATTGAACACAGTCCTTAAATTGCGCAGCTTCTTGCAAGTTGGTAAGCGCTGCAATCGTTTCGTATGCGAACAGCTAGCTGTCCTTAGTCCAGTATTTACGGAAGTGTAATACTTATCAGCCATTCGTACTAGTCACGGGTTTCCAGTTATTTCGTACATGCCTATCCTCCTGTCGCAGCAGATTCTGCTCATGTACGTGGCTTTTAACACAAGTGCAGGACTACAGACGCCGACGATCAGCCGACAAGCCTCGAATCATGTTTCTACGCTGTGAGTCTGCCTCTGGCGTGACTCAGAAACATCCAACTCCTTCACTTCACCTCAAGTTCGCTCTACCTTCAACTCCATTTCTACTTTTCCATCTTGCACACATCACGACAAAAGGTCCAACCAGAGACGACCTCTACTCTGAACTGCAATACCACATAGAAAAAAAAGACTCAACGAAAGACAAAAAAAGCAGACATCCCATCGCTCTTTTTTCTCCGCTTCTTTGCTGCGGCCCGATACATTCCGTGGATCCACATTTCATAAAATAATCAGCTAAACTAACGTCAATTTGAGGCTCTGATCCGACTCCACTCTCACTTTTGCTTTCTATCCTGACATTGTCCTCCATCAATTGAGTCCTCCTCGTCCTCCTCGTCGTCCCCATGGCAGCGCCTGTCGTGCTCGCCTATCTCGTCGTCCTCAGCACCGTCGTGCTCACGCTCGAGATCCACCGCCACCGTCTCCTCGCTCGTGCGCTCGGCGCCCTCGTCATGCTCATTGCGTTCGCGCTCCTCCCGCCGCTCGAGCTCCAGCTCAAAGCCGCGTGCTGTGCCATTGTGTACCACGGCATAACAGAAGGGCTGCGCCAATGGACGCACGACTTTCCTTGCGTCTTTGAGCGCCATCACGAGCAGAAACTGCTGTTGTGGCTCTTGTTTTGGGCGCGCGTGGTCTTATGGGGTGCTACTCTCGCAGGACTCGCGGTCTCTCGGACCTTATTCACGCCCAGCACGGCCCAAAAGAGACCGGACATATCGTCGCATTTTGACTGGCTAGAAATCGTCGCTTTAGCTCTCTATTACGAAGTTGTAGAAGTCCTGGTGATGCTTTACTTTGCAGACGATGAGCTGTCGTATACGTGGCCTGGGAACCGCGCTGGCAATTGGCTAGCAGCTGTGCTCGTGAGTGCTTTGGAGAGCTCGGAAAGACTGGATGAAGTGGTACAAGGGCCGTTGGTGGCTGGTACCTCGCCGCTCGCTCTGGTGGCAGTGCTGCTGCTGGTCATGTGGTTGACGGTTGTGATTCGATGGGATGCAATTGCAGCTGCCAGTGGTAGGCTACGCTTTTTTCAGCTGAAGATGAAGAAACGAACGTGAGATGAAGCACTTTTTTGTCATGGCGAAGCGGCGAGGAACGAGCATGAAAGAGAGTTGTGATTGCAATCCAGGTGCAGCTCGAAGCGGGTTATAGAAGCAATCAGCGATGATGTTGTGGAGTTGGTTCTGGAGCGCACGCTGGAGCTAGCAAGCGAGGACTTGTGCTTTTCGGATGGAGGTGGCTACAGTATGGAGCCTCTCGCACTTGAGTTTGATTTGATATTTATCAGTTAATTTATTTACTTCCTTCGCTTTTGGACTGCAGCGTGATGAAAGAGAAGGCTTGATGTGGCAGACGTGGTGGTGGTATGTTTTGATTAAGCAGCTGAAGTGGAGGAGATTTTGCGACTTTTAGTCGTTAAATCGCTCAGCTGACGGTCTTTGTAGAAATGCGTTGGTCTGCAATAAAAGCGGGTTACGGTACGCCTCCTGATGCCTTGTTAGCATCATGCTCTGCACGGGGCCCACCCGGGTTCTCGAATGAGTCATATGTGTCGTGGATGGTAGCCACAACTGTGATCACTTATCCTGTCGCTTTTATTGACAGGTGTGTACACTACGTCAGTAATTGGATATGAGTGGAGGCTCTCAGAAACTGAAGTGGCGTCAAATCGAGAATTCGCACAAAGTCTGAAGTGTGACGCTGTCGACTTGTGCACTAGGCAACCTTAACAGCACGTTTTGTCGTAACTGTTGAACTGGTACACGATATGGCGGCGTCATGTCTTTAACAGGAGGAATCGATGCTTGCAGGCCAAAGACTACAAGATCGTATACTCGCATCTAGGAAGTAATGCATGCTTGGCTGGTTGCACGCTGCAGTGGGTTGCCAAGTCTTATTTGTTTTTTTGGGCATGTCTTTGTCTGCCGTTCGCAAATTGATTCTAGCTGGGATACCAGGGGAGGTAAGCGTCTTGTAATTTTTGTGCACTTGCGGGTTTTCCTGTCTTTCCACGATGTTGTGCGTATCCTGTCATGTAGTAAACAAATGCTAGCTATCAAGCCGTGCAGCTTTGTGGACACTCAGGCCATGTGGAAGTCGACTACAATGTAGACTGCCTCGAGCAAGTAACATCTATGATGTGGGACATCTGTAATGCGTGCTGGTATCACTCGCTGCGGTGGATGCATGCAGTGCCCAATATGCGCAGGTGTCTACAGAACCTGAAACTAGAAAAGTCGGTAGCTGCAACTGACTTCGTTGCTTGCATGGCTAGTGAGCACTTGTGCGAACGTGCTTTGAGCACTGCGAAGTTGGTCGCGCTGCACCAGAGTGTTTGATGTGCCAAATGAATACAGCAGAGCTGAGATAGCTGCTTCAATGCAGCAAGCCGCACTGGCACTTTGCTGCTGACTACTCAGATTGGAGCAATCACGACAGCGATGGATGATGCTTTACATTTGTTGCAAGTGTTTATCGGGATGTGGACGGCGAGCATTCGAGCTACACAACTTCTCGACTTCGTCACAGTTGAGCCACCAACACTCCAAAATGTTATGATGCTGCGTCTTCATGTGGCTACGGATCTACGTCGACGTTGAGCAAAGAGCAAACGATGTTTGCAATTGCACGAAGTGATGCGTTGGCTTGGACGATGTCTACCAAAGTTTTCTGGCTGCTTCATTTATCGCTGCAAGCCATTGAAAGAACTCATGGTGCACACGGTCTCTTTCCGTGTTCGAACAACGAACGCCAGTCAATTGTCGCGCGACCAATGCTTTGTCAGGGCGAGCAACTTAATACAGTTCGTATTAGCATCATCTCTTCAGCGTTGTGTCGGCTCTATCTTCAGGATTCGCGTGGTCCATTTGCGCCGTAAGACGGCTAAATACCATATAGCCGTAAAATAACAGGAACATCACGCGTGTTTTCGGCATACCTGCCCCAAATAACAGGAACATCACGCGTGTTGTTTCGGAATACCGGCCCCAAATTGCTTTTTATGGCAAGCTACCGACAGCTTGAGGGACTATACTTGTTGGCATGGAGATGCTGGAGATTGTAGCTCGTGATGCGTGGATGGTGACACCATAGACTTAACGTTCTGTTAAGCGTCCTGGCCGACCCCAGTGGCCGAGTGGCAGACCGAGTTGTTAATACAGTTCATATTAGCATCATCTCTTCAGCGTTGTGTCGGCTCTATCTTCAGGATTCGCGTGGTCCATTTGCGCCGTGATACGGCTAAATACCATATAGCCGTAAAATAACAGGAACATCACGCGTGTTTTCGGTATACCTGTAACGGGGCACCCTGAAGATTGTACTGGTGACAGTACAAGCTACTTATTCTGATGACAGAATAAGGCGGTGCCTCGTAACTTCACGTACACTCGTACGTGCAGAGGAAGACGGTAAGAAGAAGCGAGCACTTGGTTAAAGTAAAAAGTAGAACTGTATTTAGTATAGTTAATGTCTGCAATAAATCACTATTTATCTTCATCTAACTATGTCTAAATACAAATGTGTAAATCAACTATCTGCTCACCACTCATTGCGTGCGTCTGTCGTGGCGCGTCTTCGTTGGTTGATACAATGGCCTATATCAACCAATTAGGAACTACTCGTAAGTGCTACAGAATATTTGTCCTTATGACAATATTCTGAGAATATAACTCTAATAGTTATATTCTATTAACAATTTCTTATAAATTGTTATGTAACGATTCACCCCGTCACATCACCCCCCCTAACCATCAGTCACTTTAGTGACTGATTGACTAAATGGATACTCGTCCCAAATCATTTGGGACAGGGTTTGCACTTGTTGGTCCGAGTCCACTTTCCAACATTTCATCGCATGGTTAACAAGCCCATGCGATGCGCGAGCAAGGCCGCCGAGAGCGCGTCCGCACGTCTCTGTGCGGACGCCGAAGCAGAAACAACAGCAACTGATGTCTCATCGGTTGCTGAAGCGACTCAGCCTGTGTCACTTGGTGATGCAGGCGCTGGTCATGAAGACACTCATGTCTTCACAGAGTACGAGCTCGGTGTCTCATACTCTCCTGATACGGAAGACGGATCCGTATCGACGGCGATTGAATCCAAGCCGCCTGCCAAGCGTGGCATGGACGATGCTTTGCGTCGCAGCATCTTTGGTTCATCTGATGAATCAGATGAACCATCGCCGAAGCGAAGGCGCTCGAGGTCGCGAGACTCGGGCGCTAACAGTGGTGTCGGTTCTCCTATGGACACCACTTCGCAACGAGGTGCCAGTACTTCTGTCGGCACATCGCAGGAAGAGCGGGACCGCAATGTGTTGCGTCTCGCTCCTGAGAAGAAGGCATGGATGTCTCCCAAATCCGTCATGGATCACTTGTCGGCGACGACGAGTGATCGTTATCGAACACGATTGTTCGATTCGTCAAGGATCCATCACCTTGACCCCAGCGCGAAAAACTATCGCGCTAAGAACGAATACTTCATCGATGCTTTCTTTAGACATCGATGGTACAGTGGGAATCACAAGCGTGATGGTCCCTCACTGCTTCAGGCGTGGAACGCCTACATCCATAACCTTGAGGATGTAGGTCGTGACGCTTGGAACGACAAACTTATCAAAGCTCGTGATAAGTTTGAAAATCGAATTCCGACAGGTGCACGCTACAAGCTGCATCGTCTGTCAAGGGAGAAGGGATTACCCTGCCTCTCTTGGGGAGACTCGTGCCCATGTTGTGTGAACAACTCTGCACGAGCACCTAAGGAGGCTTACCTCCTTACTAGCCCGTAGTGGCGCGTACGTATCTCTACTGAGATGTACGAAGGGATTCACAACTTGAAATCCCTTTACGAACGTGCCGGGAAGACTTTCTCCGGCGGTCCTTCTGCGGCACAGGATGTGCCGCGTCGTACTGTTCAACCAGACCCAGTACGTCGATCATCAGTTGGGGGCGGGGCTCCCAAGTACCCCAGGACGGGGTATAGCCGCGCCACCGGACGAGATAACTCGTCCGACGTCCGTTCACGTCGCGGTGGTTCAACAGCTGCTCAACTAGATAGCGCTGGCCACCGCGAGAGTCCTCCATTGGAGGTGGAGGAGGAGGAAAGACGCTCTCCACACGATCATGGGGATCCGTGGGTTCCCGAGAGCTTCTTTGATCGCGTAACGCAAGGGTTACGCAACGATCTCGAACATGAGCGGGACGGGCGTCTCCAAATGGCGGACACTGTCTCGAAGCATCGAGCTGAGTTTGCCTTTGCTCAGCTTGAGAACGAGAGATCTCTGACATCTCTTCGTGACGAGCTAAGGGTAGCTCGTGGGATTGTTGATCGGTCTCGGGATGAGATAGCTGCTCTTCAGACCCTTGTTGATGCCCACCATCGGGAGCACAAGGATCTCTGCGAGATGCTTGAGCGCAAGGGCGTTCTTCATCGGAAGAAGCAGCGTACTGATGGTACGGCTTAAGCCGACCAACGTAAAACGTGGGATGCGTTCGCATCTTACGTGGTAACTCGATCGTGTATGCATTGCCTAGGCGGTGCAATACACGAAATGGGCCGATGTACTTGGGTAGTAGTTTACTGCTACCCAATTTAGTCACTACATGCTTTGGTAGATTAACCGTAGACAGTAGGACTAAGTCACCTTTATTAAATAAAAGAGTGTTTGCCCTTCCATTCTTATCAGCGTTTTGCTTTTGATTATCCACCGCTTCGGCGATGGAGTCTTGCACAAAACGGACTACCGTTTCACGAGCCAGTATGAACTCATCTGATGACTCGTTAGCTTCAGTGCGCTGTGAGCGCACTGCAGCAACATCAACCTTTTCTTCAGTGAGGGCTTCCGCACTCTCACTGGCATCATCTTCTTCGGTGAGGGCTTCCGCACTCTCACTGGCATCATCTTCTTCGATATCGATGTTATCGATATCGGCATCAAACGCAATGACCTCTTCGTCAGAGCGTGATAAGCGTGAACCAATTCGGTTTTTGCTCGCGCGAGTCCCTCCCCCCTTAAACCAGAGTTACACTCTAGTAAGGTGGGTACACGCGGATGGCGCAAGCCATTCACGTAAAACGGTGTATGTGTCGTGGACGCATGCACCGAGTTGTTGATGGCAAACTCTACCATTGGCAAAAACTCACTCCAACTCTTAAAGGAGTGTACGTATCCTCGAAGTATCTCTTCAAGGACACGATTGGCACGTTTCGTCTGACCATCTGACTCTGGATGATCAGATGTCGATATCTTCAAGCGCGTTCTGAGTGATTTGAACACGGAACGCCAGAAATCAGCAGTGAATCGTGGATCTCTGTCTGATACGAGTTCACGGGGCAACCCATGAAGTCGGAAGATGGTGTCAATAAAGACACAAGCACAGCCACTTGCCGTGATTGTCTCTGGGACAGCCACAAGGTGTACCATTTTGCTGAATCCATCAACAAATACGAGAATACCCGTATTCCTGCGTGCGTCTTTGGGCAACCCGAAGACAAAATCCATTATGATGGATTCCCAGCACTCAGCCGGAACCGGTAGAGGCTATAAAGGTGCACGCAGTGAAGGACTTGACTTCACTCGTTGGCAGACTTCGCATGCGCGAACATACTTTCGCACAAACTGATACTGGCGGGGCCAGTAAAAGTCTCGACTCACCATGAGATATGTTTTCTCCCGGCCACGATGTCCTCCTGTAGGAGCATCGTGATACTCGAACATGATCCGCAAACGCAGATCAGTATCATCTGGAATGACAACACGTGGTGTGTCACCAGAAACGGCTGTATAGTACAGTAAACCGTTACGAGTAGTGTATCGATCTGATGCAGATCGATACGCAGGCGACAATCGTTTCAACGATTCTCGAGATGGTTGGGAGAGATGTGTCAACAACTTCACAGTGTCACCATCATGGGCGTATGCCCGCCTCACATCATCATACAACGTTGTAGATGGGACTGAGGACGTCATAACTGCAACAGTGACTGTCTCACTGTTGGGTTTCGCGACTGTTTCAAAGTCGGGACGATGTGAGAGTGCATCAGCGACGACATTAAGTCGTCCTGGTTTGTACTCAACCGTAAAGTTGTATTCTGCAAAGAATGACAACCACCGCGCCATTCGTTGTGAAAGGTGCGGGCTGTTCACTGCCGTGCGTAATGACGCATGGTCAGTGTAAACAATGAAGGGTCTATCTCCTAATAGATAGACTCTGAACTTCGCGAGTGCATACTTCATGGCAAGGAGTTCCTTGTCATGCACTGGATAGTTCCGCTCAGCTGGTTGCAGCTGACGCGACTGATAGCAGACGACGCGTTCAACGCCTTCAAGATCGTACTGCATTAATGCACAGCCGATTGCGAAATCGCTGGCATCACAGACCACATGAAATGGCCTGTCCTGATCGGCTATTGCTAGGACTGGGGATTGTATCAAGCTCTGCTTGATACCATCAAAGGAGCGTTGACATTCAGCGTTCCATAACCACCTCTCGTTCTTTTACAACAAACGAGAGAGGTGCACAGTCATCTCGGCGTAATTGCGTGAATACTTATGCAAATACGCCGCTAGCCTAAGGAATTTTCGAAGACCTTTGAAATCAACCGGCAAAGGCCAGTCGGTGATCGCCTTGATCTTTTCGGGATCAGGACGTACACCGTTCTTACCAACGATGCACCCAAGAAGTGGCATTTCGCTTGCTGCAAATGTACACTTCTTGAGGTTTGCATACAATTGATGCTTTCGCATGATTGTAAGAACCTGTCGGACGTGGTACCTGTGAACCTCAACGTCCGACTTTCCATCCATAGCTCGACTATGGATGAATACGTCATCGAAATAACTCGGCGCGAATTCTCGTACTGGTCTCAACAAATGTGATACACATCTGTTGAACGTGGCAGGGGCATTACTAAGCCCTTGTGGCATTACTAGCCATTCCCAGAGATTTATGCCGCGCGGTCCTTCAGATCACCCTGGGGTAATTTGCGAGTACTCTGACTTAGTTTGAACTCCTTACAGGACCCGCACCCCTCATCACACTATGGGGCTTTTCGGCTTGTAGGGCCTCCGGACGGCACCGGCCCCTCATTGGTAGTTGCTCGTCTACGTTATTAGCCTAGCCTTCTCCGGCGCCCTGTAATCGACCCCCACCGGGTATCGATCCAGGTACCTCCCGGTCACAGTTCCAGTGGTCTACCACTCGGCCACTGGGATCGGTCTAGCCATTCCCAGAGCATGCCGCTAGGCGTGCTAACTGCGGTATAGGGTATATCCCGTTCTCGCATAAGGATTTGATAGATGCCATCCATCAAATACATGGACGAAAAGATGGTACTCTTTGACATACCATCAATGATTACGTCCTTCATCGGTATCGGCGTCTGAGCCGGTACTGTTGCAGCATTCAACTTTTTAAATGCATGCACTATCCGCCACCCTCCTGTTGCTTTTCGCACACAGAAGGTCGTAGAGCTATGTGGGGAAGTTGATTCCCTCACATGGCCCGCAGCTAAACGATCGGCAAAGAACTTGTCGATCGCAAGTACTTGTTCACGGGGCAGTGGCCACTGCTTCATGACACAGTACTTCGAGCCTGGTTTAAGCTCGACCTCGTGTCGAATACCTTTATCCTTCGGTAATTCGCACGGAACAGTTTCAGGGAATGCATCCTTGAATTCAACCAAATCTTCATAGAGAGGATTTGTCTTGAGCGATTCCCACGATTGGGAGTCATATCGCTCAATTCGTGTCTTTTCATCTAGGACACTCTCGTCCATAGATGAACTACTGAGAACTCTCTCGTTCTCAGTAAACACTGTTGCTGACCTTATGTCGGTTACACACTCGTCGTCAGCGACGAGTACGCAGATCTGCTTGACTTTGCCACTATGCAGATCACGCAAGAACCTTTTATGTTCGAGCGTTGGCAACTGAGTGATCTCCGAAGTCAACTTCGGAGGCGCAATCAGATCAAGTGTATAAGCGCCTACACTTGATCCGTTATTGACTATGACATTCAATGTCTCTGTCATTTCCTGGGGACTTATTCCCTCAGGCCTCGAAGGACTTATTCCTTCGGCTTCCCGGGGACTTATTCCCGCGGGTTTCGGGGAACTTATTTCCGCCGTATTTGTAATCTTGGGACTTATTCCCTTAACTTCCTCTAGCTGGGGTTGCGCAACCACAGCGAGATCCTCTACGAAAGACTCTCCAGTCGATCTAGGATTATCGTTTCGCTTAACCTGAGCGATTGATTGTTTCTCTTCTAGATGTTCCCCGCTAGGGATACATCTTTGTCCCGGCCCACTCGACTTATTCGAGTGGTGGACCTTCGGCGCAGCCTGTGTTTCCTCACAGCCGCCGGAACTTTGCTCCGAAGTGTAACCGTTTGGTACACTAAGGTTTTGTGCAGTCGTACTAACGACCGTACCACAAGTGAGGCCATCACACTCACTCGTAGTACATCCACACGTTTGTGGACGCTCCAAAACGTTCATCAGATGGCCATCTGATGAACAAGCAGCAGGCATCGTTACTGTTCGATGTTGCCAGCTTACCCGTGGTTCGTACCTTCTGAGCCACGGTATTCCAAGGATGACATCAAATTTGTCATCCAAATCCAATACGATAAAGTCATCGTCATATTGGGTATCTTCTAGCGTATAGTGGATCTTCACTATACGCTTCATGACGGTTACGGATGCGCCTGTCGCAAGACGTACCGTCATGCTCGTAGGAGGTGTGTCACATTCACTGAACTTGAAGTGACCATCTTCTAGCGATTGGCGTCGCACGAGATTGTTGGACGCCCCACAATCGACTAGAGCTCGAAAGGACAAGTTATTCGTCACTTCGAGTTCCAAGGTAATGAGTGAGATCTCATTACCTAGAGCAGCAACGCACAACGTTTGTGTGTTGGGAGCAACCTTCATCAAGAGGCCTACAAATTCTCTTGATGTTGCTGGACCAGTAGGGTGCTCCGCACCTACTGATCCTGTCCGTTTTTTGACGGTCCATCCCGTTGTTGCGTCTTTGCACCAACAGCGGACCCGCGTCCCTGCCCCTTTCTCATGGGTGGACGGTCACTACGCCCAGTGTTGCGAGACACTGGACGAGGGGCACTACACTCGTAAGCGTAGTGTCCTGTCTTTTGACATCTGTTGCATCTCTGCAACTTCTTGTAGTTTGTAGAGCGAGCCTTCTCGCTCTCTACATAACAGAGTTCCATCGGCTCTGGACCTCCGCTGTCATATCGTCTCGGTTGACGATATGATGTCGAGCTGGCGCGAGCCTGTCTCAGACTGAAGTCTTCCTGCTCCGCAATGGAAATGGCTTGTTCTAGTGAATCTAGTTCAAGCCGGAACAGGTGAGTCTTGACGGGACCATCCGCAAGACCCTGCATGAACACCGAAACCAACGTGTGTTCATCCACCGGATTGGAACTTATACATCTCGTAAGATGT